TTGTCTTTTTTTCTTGTAGAAGAACAACTGTCTTGTGACGGAAGTGGCATGCCCAAAGAGGAAAAGCTTTCTGAAGATTCCAAAAACTCACCACCAAATCCAGCAAATGCTTTAAGCCCTACCAGCAGAAATCCTGTAAGCACTCATGCTGCAGTCTCCAGGAGTTTTTCTCCGAGCGTGCCAAGCACCTCAAGTTCAGCACTAGTGGGGACCAAATCTACCAAGAGCAGTCACCATGAAGTTAAATTCCAAATGCAGAAGAAAAGTGAAGGTATATTTAAAAACAGTGATTCTCAACCAATGTGTTTCTTTCTCCTTAAGGTTTCTTTGCCTAACAGCATCCTCTGAGAGTGTATCACATTGGAGAAAGTGCCAAGATTGAGGAGTTTTGAGTCCTCCCTGTTTACATTGCTGTCAGGTTCAAGCCACTATAGATGCTCTGATCCTCATGGCCGCATAGAACTGTCCCTGGGGATCTGGGTCACCAGCCTTGTCTCTCATAGAGACTTCGTAGATCAGTTGTTCTGATTAATGGTTCTATTGTAATTGATCATTTCACTGGATACCGTCTGGACTCAGAAACCTCCTATGACTCTGAGGCCTGGAAAGATGCACTTCCTCTCCTCTCTGATGTACTCTCCTCCTTGTCTCTTTTGAGACTTTTACTGACTCCAGCTTGCGTGTGGCTCCCAGCTCTGGCTCTGGTAATCTGTTGCTATAGCTGTTTCCCCATTCTCCATACCTTCAGTTATTCCCTCCGACCCACCAGGAGTACACAGTATGTGTACACAGGGCAGCGTCCTGTTGCCATCTGGAAAAAGCCAGATTAGTTTTCCGTGTGCAAAAATAGCTACCCTGTACCCTTTTAAGGATGAAGGGGGTGGGGTTAGGGGTGGGGCAAGGTGGGGTAAGGGTGGGAATATGTTTTGTCCCTTTTTTCCTGGTAGGCATCTAGGCAAGGTGAGTATTGAAGGCAGTAGGAACCATCCAACTTGATTGCTTTTCTTCATGGATGTTTTCTATGGGCAACTGCGCTGCATACATGCTCCGACATATTTAATGTTATCCCATCTCCCACCTCATGTAGATCGTCTCCACTTTCAGAGTGACGTGTGCGAGGAGTCTGATGGTAGATGCTTATCTCATCAAGGGGTAGTGTGTCCAGAATTTTTAGGTATTTTCACAAAATAAGCTCTGAAGACAGGTCTTCTCAGTAAAAGGCTATAAAAGGTTATCCCTGATACTGAGTGTCTCACTTTCAAATGTATGACAAAAAAAAAAAAAAAATGTATGACTAACACTGCTATGCCAAAGTAGCCTGTACTTGGGCTTGAGAAGCCAAGATTTTAGTCTTTCCAGGAGTGGAAAGACTAATAGTAATAATATTACTTACTGGTAATTTACTTATTAGTAATGGAAATCAGCATCATCCTCATCACTATCTGACATGTGCCAGGCATGTAATATTTTATATAGCCTTATACGGTACATCTTTACAATAATTCCTTAAGATGTAGATGCTGGTAAACACTTCCAGGTGAGAAATCTGAGAAGTCACTTGACTAAGGTCCCCAGCTAGAAAGTGGCTGGGTCAGTCCTTGAATCCAGGCACTCTGATTCCAGGCTGTATGCTTAACTGCTGGGATGCTTCCATCTCCAGAGAATAGGTAAGCATTTCACTTGGAAACTGTCTCGAGGTGTCATTACAAGGTATTGGAACTGTGACTTAAAGCTGAGTCTGCCCCTGATTGCTGGTGATACTCTTACAACCTCCTGTCCTGCCCCATTATTTTAATGAAATAAACTGTTCGTTTTTATTATAGGAAAGAAATCCAGTAACGTTGTGGATAAAATCAAATCACGTTTCTTTATTTCAGAAACACTTAACTGATATTCTAGTGTATGTAAGAGCCATTCAGGAGAAAAGCACGACTGGACTTTTGATTGTTTTTCACATATAATTATTTGAATAACACTAATGTTTGCAACTTCTCTGATTGTTTTGAAGATATGGGCCCAATTAAATGATTTTTCCATAATGAATTAAAAATAGATGTCTTACAGTTTTTATTTTTAAGATAAAATTATAATTTTATACCATAAAGTATATTTTTGCATATAGTTTTTCTGTAGTAATCTATAAAAGTGGTTACATGTTATTTAAGACATAACTATACCAGATTCTGATGACATAAACCAGAAATCCCACAAAAAAGTTAGAGGTATGATTAGCTTGATTAGCTTTGCCAATAATTTTTTCATCTTAAATTAAGTCTTTCTTAGAACTAGAGAAGACTTTCTGTCTAAATTGTTAGAATGCCTTCAGCATGGCATGATCTATACCATCATCATTTTCATTTGGGTTGAAACAATACAGTAACATTTCTTAGTAGATATGACCAACATTTTTATCTCTGACAAGAGAAAGGAAGGATATGTTTTAGTAAAGAGTTTTTGTTTTACATCAAAGTTGTGACATTGAAAGAGAAAATAAGTATACTTTTGAGCTACACACAAAAAAACTTACCATTCTGAGTTCCTTTATCTTGTTTTTCTTTGCCCTTTACCTGGGTAAATACTCAAAATGCCCCTAAAATGGCTAGAGCCCAGATGATAGGAAAGAAAAGGTATATCTTTGGTTAATTCACACCAGAAAAGACCAAATTTGTGTTGACGGTCCTGGTTTAAAGAAACAGATCTTCCTGGCAATTACAATCTTATTACATACTGACTTTTGTGAGACAAGCACTCTGTTTGAGTAAAACAAATACTTGTCTGGACACAAAGAAATTACAGCACAACTTGGTGAATAGCACAGCTAAAACTTTTTGAGTTATCAGTACTTACTTTATTCTATGTCTCAAATTATTATTATTTTTTTACCTATAAACATTCAACCAGAATATCTATTAGTATGCAATTAAGCTTGAGAGAGGTATTCAGTATAATGTTAAAATTACTTCTGACCTAGCCAAGCAGAAAATAATTGTTTTCTTCAAAATTCAGATAGGCATTTGAGCCTTAAGAGACAGGAATTTAAAGAGTAAAGTGGTGCTAAAAATATCCATATTGAATACAAGGGAGAGATTCAGTAGAACTAATTTGGTTCTCAAAGATAATGGGGTTATTGAAATTCCTTGATTAAAGTGAATAAATTTAAGCAACTATAAAACTAAATCTGGAGACTTTCCATTGTATTTAGCTAGTAAAAGACACCTAATCCGACAGACCAAGATAAGAGAGAGAGAGAGAAATTCACTGAAATACTTAAAGAGTAATAGGTTAGCTTAGATTAACCTAGTTTAATGCAAGCAACAGATCTTTTGTTGTCTTTGCCTGTGGCCAACAAGGCCTCAGATTTGATCAGTCTGCTTTATGATTTTTGAAGCTTTAATGTAAACTCTGAAGCTACTTTTGTTGTTTGGGGGAGGTCAGATGGGGTGCTCTCGGGTAGCCATCCTCAGGTCATCCTAATCTACGCTTCCACTGGATTCTTCGCTTGGAGACCTGAGTCCTTGCCGGGGTGCTTAACAGAAGGTTCCAGGAATGGGACCAATTCTCCCTACCTAACATCTCTTCTTTCAGGATAATGATCAGGTCAAGTATGATTTGTCTTTTTTCCCCCCATTGAAGCTCCAAGTTATATAGCTGTACCTGACCCCAGTGTCCTGAAACAAGGCTTCTCTAAGGACCCTTCAACCTGGTCTGTGGATGAAGTGATACAGTTTATGAAACATAAAGATCCTCACATATCAGGCCCCCTCGCCGACCTCTTCAGGCAACATGTAATGTATCTTTTGATCCGGTTTTCCTGCCGTAATGCCTTTCAATGACCTCTGTGCAGGCCCTTCAGTTGGATGGATGCTGATTGGTGTGGATGGTGGGGGAACCCTATCAACTGATTTTTCCATATGTGAGAAAGGTTACTTGACCCAAAGTTAGATTCTTAAATGGTAGAGGCTGGATCTGTGCTTTAAATTGGTACCCGAGTACCTAAAATACTACAAGTCTTCAAGTTCTCAAGAGAAGATGATTCAGCATGGCCACTCTCAGATGTCTTCTCCCACAAGGATCCTCCTCCCCACCTGCTCCCTGCTCGGCCCCAGGACCGTGAGTAGGAGGGGGTAACCACAAGCTGTGACAGGGTGTCCTCCCTGTTAATGATGCCCAATGAATCCAGCAACTGTGTAAGATTAAGTGTAGTTTTATTTTAAATAGGAGCTCATGAATACCAATTACTATGCTTCTCCGACATAAATTGGTTAATTAAGGAAATAAAAAATTTTAGGAGGATGCCTTGTGTCTATTAAGTAATGTTTATAGTCTTTTCTAACAAATCGGTGACCAAATGTCTTCTGTCCTTTTCAGTATTCTAAAGAAAGTCAGTAATTAGTTTTAGCATTTAATTAGTTTAGCTTCAGACAACTAACCGATTAGCTTTCGACATAAAGACAACACTGTGTAACACATTTACAGTTTGCATTGATGCTGACATCCTCATATTCCCAGCCTTTTTAAATAAAGTTAGTGACCGTCTGAAATTTGTTTCTACAATTCATAACTTTCTAAACTTTGTCATAGATAATGTAGTATTTTATTCAACACACAGTATTTAAAACCAGATAGTTTGGTGCTTAGGCCAATTTTGAAAGATACTGGATTAAATTTCCTTTTTCTTAAAATTTGAAGTGAATTTAAAAACTATCAAATGATGTCTTACTGTATGAATTATACTTTTAATAGTTTTCAGGAAATAGATACATATTCAGAGAATATATATCGAGAATGTACAACTGCTCTCGATTTTACATGTTTTTATATATAATTTGATAAAATATGAATGCATTATTAATTGTAATTTCTTTCTCTCTGTAGGAAATTGATGGGAAGGCTCTGCTACTACTCAAAAGTGATGTGATGATGAAGTACATGGGGCTGAAGCTGGGGCCGGCATTAAAGTTATGTTACTACATTGAAAAACTTAAAGAAGGAAAATACAATTGAAAAAAATGTGTAAGTTTAGAATGGACCGAATTCTTAATTGTCCTGGGTGACTTTTAATTTAAAATATTTTAACTCTCTTAGAAGCTTTTGTTTGGTAGACAGTTCCTCTAAAATTTGTTATATCCAGAATTGCAGAACAACATGATAGTCCAATCTACTTCTTTAAAAACCATTTACATGTTAGTATTAGCATATTCAAATTGGGAGTTCTTTATGTCTTTCTATTGATTTACAGTTTACAATGTATCATTTTATTATACAGTTTACAAATGTATTTTCATGCTGGAAACAGAGAAACGCCTTTGATTTCAGTTAATGTATATATATAGAACCAAAACAGCGAAATCCCAAAGGGGGAAGTATCAGGGACTGACAAGTTCTCTAATGAAATCTGTGAGAAGTTTTCCTTAGAAGAAAATTTAAAGATGCAGCTGTAGATACGATCTCTTTCTCCAAATATTTTGTGTCTGTTACCGCAAGTTCTGTTTCTGTTCTGCCAGTTTCTAGAAAGGGAAAGCCATATAAATTATTATCCTTTTGTTATTATTTCTCTGTATGTTATATTTGTTCATATTTAAAGAAAAAAAGCAAGCTTATAAACTTTCATAAAGTGTTCTTAATCAGTTTTTAATAACTTTTGAACAATTGTACGATAAATAGAATGGTTGTTTATGCAGGAGATATTATACAAGGGTGGTTTGGATGGAGTCCGATTAAATTTTTTCAATAATATACCTATTATTTTAAAACATTACATATTTTCGCTAAGTGTAAACATTTAACTGGGCAGTCATTTCTCACATCTCTATATGAAGACACCTGTGCCCAAATTTTTAAAAGATAAATATTTTATTGTCTGTGCTTATTCCTCATATGGATACTATACCCTATTTATATATTATTCCATACCTGTAGGTGTATAAACAAGTAAATCTGTTCTTTTTGAATTTAATATGGCACTTTGTACTGCCACAGAGGTAATGGTGAACTATTTATATAGTTAGAGGTCTTTATTCTGTAAAAAAATATGTGCATCATTTGCTATTACTATTACCTCTCAGCTTTGTCTTCAGGGGATAAGAAACAATCCGTAGGTTGGTTTTCATACAGGGAAGCTCTCTGTCCTATGCAATGTTTCTACTTACTTTGCTTAGCTCTGAGCCATTTATTCTGCTAAATTTTGGAAGATGCATTAAATCTGACTTATCATTTGGGGCTTTATTTTTAAAGTTAGAACTTTCAAGGGGAAATGGTGCTATATGTTTATAGTAATTGCTTTGTCTAAGTTTGGTAATGTTGATAAGCTATGAGAATCTGTGCTAAAAGTCTTAGCCATTTGTTGTAAATGCCAATAAAATATACACCAGGGGCATGAATGTACATTTTCTTTTTCAGAAAACCAAATGTACTTTATATAAGAATGCAACTATTTAAAGGATGGTTTTATCTAGGTTATTCCTTTTGTGTTAGGAGACAAAATCGTAATTTAAACCTAATCTTTTTTCAAATTGTTTGTGTAAAGATGCTGTGCCCAGTTGAGCAGTCCTCAGGTGTTTGTATGAATACTATGTTTTACAGTTTTCAGATTTTAAAATATAATAAAGTTTTAAAACCACAATAATGTCAAAGCCTCAGATTTGATTTTGTTTGCTTTCACTGCATGACATTAATATGCAAATTTATTAGAGTTGATAAATGCTCTACTGGGACACCTGGGTGGCTCAGTTGGCTAAGTGTCAGCCTTGGGCTCAGGTCATGATCCTAGGGTCTTGGGACGGAGCCCCACGTCAGGCCCCCCCACTCAGTGGGAAGCCCGTTTCTCCCTCTGCTTGAGTGCTCACGTTCTCTCTCTCTCATAAAATCTTTTAAAAAAGCGCTACTAAGCTTGTGGTTGTCTATGTGCACGTCCACATAGTTGAGTGTTAACACTTGCCCTCATTCTACAGATAAGCAGATCACTAGCAGCGAAGGGCTGATGTCCTGCAGGACCTTAAATGAGCCCCCAGGGGAGCAGCACGAAGTTCCATCCATGAGCTGTGTCTGTGCTCAGCACTTGCCGCTCGCCGTGGTACTGAGGATGCGAGTGCACTAGAAGAGGCCAGGGCCCCCACAAATCTCGTCCCCGTCCCTGAGCTCCTGCGTCTGCCTGCGGTTCTGGCTGCTCTTCTGTCACCGGGGGGCCAGGAGCCACACTGCCTTTCCGCCTTCAGCTCTCCCAGCTGACAGGGTGCAAAAGCCTTAGAGGCTCAGGACGGGGGCTGCGTCGCCTTCGGCACCTGACTCCTTGCCCCTCTCGGCTATGCCAGGAGCTTCTGCTCCACGCCTTCAAGCCCACAAACTCCTCCCGCTGCAGCAGCACGTCTGCCGGTTGACACGGTCCCCACCGAGCCTCCAGGGCTGATGCTGTAGTGGCGGGAACGGGGTGTCACTGTGCTTGTCTGGGACTTGGGTGATTCAGACCCGCTTGCTCTCGGCCATCCAGCTTGTCAACTTGTAGCCCAGGGACGGTCTAACGCGTTAGGCTCTCGGGAACTCTCCGGGCTTTTAAAATGATCTTTCCTCTGGCTCTGCCTCTCAGGCCATCCTTCCCACACCAGCGGGCGGAATTCTGCAAGCTGACCGCGGCAGCCCTCTGGGCGCATGGAGCGTTTGCTTTCGTCTTTGCGTGATTTCTGATCGTTGCGGCGGCTCCCGAGTGTGTGTCCAGGGTGGGACTTCCCAGACTTAAACCCAGGCCCCCACTGTAGGCATGAAAAACCCAGGCCCTTCTGTAATGCGACTAGAAAAGAACTGAACCTCATGATGAGGAACGATGTAGTTGGGAGGAAAAGCCCCGCTTTCCGAGCTACGAAGGGATCGCGTTCACAGCCGGCTGAGTGCGTGAAGTACGTGTGAACTTCCGGGGCTGCTGCTTCGCTGAGATGCTGGGACTCGCTTGTATTTCGCAGTCCTCTGAGGCTGATCCGGGGAACGAGGGAGGGAGCCAGGGAGGGCTCTCGGGCACGGGGGACGTGCGGCCCGGGGCCTACGTTCAGAGTGCGTGGCAGACGGGTTCCGTCCTCGACCTCCCGACGTTTCCCGTTTTGTCCTGAAGGTTGATGAAACTGAACCTCGAAAGCAGCTCTCCACGGAGGGTCCTCAGCCCGAGCGTCCCCACTCTCCTTACTCTTCTAGAAGCAGCTTCGGACACGCGGGACCACCTGCTTCGGCTCCAGGGGCGCTGGCAACCCGGGGGGCGAGCCATAAGGAGTAAGAGACCTACTCCTCGCCTCAAGCTGCTTCCACCACACGTTGGTGACCCAGCGTTCGTGGAAAGGAGCCTCAGGAAACTCATGATAGCGCACGTGAGCCAGTTCCTGGCGACTGTGAGGGCTCAGTGTCCGGACTGCCTGCTAGCTGGACATACGGATGACAACAGTGCTGAGGATCGTCAGCTGTGTTATTACGTCATACTAAGCAAACTGCCCGAGGCAGATGTGGTTTTGGTCACTGTGCTCGGATTGGTCCGAGTACCCCAGGCTCCGCCGCAGTGACAAACAGACCCCGACAGGTCCGTGCCTTTGCTTTTCCGCCCCTTCTCCCAGGCGAGGCCTGATGCTCCCTAGACGCCGCGTCTTTCCTCTGGCGCCGCGCCCGGCACGTGTGGCCGGTGAGGCTCTTTTCTTTTTTTTTTTTTTTTAAAGATTTTTATTTATTTATTTGACACAGAGCGAGAGATCACAAGCAGGCAGAGAGGCAGGAAGAGAGAGAGGGGGAAGCAGGCTCCCCGCTGAGCAGAGAGCCCGACGCGGGGCTCGATCCCAGGACCCTGAGGTCATGACCCGAGCCGAAGGCAGAGGCTCAACCCTCTGAGCCACCCAGGCGCCCCTGCAAGGATCTTTTCATCGCCCCAGCCCGGAGGTGACCCGTGGTAGTTCTCCTCGGGTCCCACTGGTAAGACAAGCACGTGGCCCTGCTCAAGGGAGAGCGTGGTTTTCCCAAGAAGAGGGAAACGGAAGGGCTGGGCACCACGTAGCATCGTTTCTCCGAGGCTGTGCCTCCCGTGTTTCCAGGCGAGGGTGATGGCAGATGGCGCTGGAGCTGGGCCGGTTGGCGGCCTCACTGAGAAGCTAGGGGTGCAGTGCCGATGTGTGGACAGGTGCCTGGGGGGGCTGAGTCTGGCTGGAGCCCGCCTGTTGCCCCCAAGGAGAGTCGTCGTCCTGGCAGTTGTGGACATGCAAACTTTTGAGTCTCACGCCACAGACCTTCCAGTTTTACCAGAGCAAGTAGAAATACAGATTTTCATGGGAAATCTCCCAACTGTAAGACGGACGCCTAAGTATATGAAAACCCAGGCCAGATAAAACGTGTATGATGCGGGCCGAATGTGACCTCTGTGTTTCAGTGCAGGATGTTAGCCCTTTGGTCTCAGAGCTTGGGACCTCGAGCGGCCAGCCCTCCACTCCTCTGGGAGGTAAAGCTGACCCGGCATTTCTAAGAAGAATCTTGGCTCTGCCTGTGGGCATTCATTCTCTCTGTCCACCTGGGTTCCCGTTCACATCCTCCATGTTGACCACAATCCCTGCTCAGCCGGCCACAGGGGCACTTGGGGCCACACGTGAAGGAGGACAGAGTCCCTTATTCCGCCCAGGTCATTGCCAGGCTGTGTGATCCCGAGGCATCTGCTAGACCACGAGTGTTGAGAGAGACCGCAGCATGGGCTGGAGACTGGGGAGTCATTACGAACTTGGAGAGCTGAACGAGGCCTGGACAGGAAGGCCCTTGGGTCACCTCCAGATGGCGTCTTAAGGTCCGAGGGAAGCAGTTAAGGAGCTCTGAACGGGGGTGGGTGTCACACAGCAGACCAGCATTGTGGGCATTCTGGACAGATCGTTCTGGCAGCTGCTGGGGGTCGGGACCGAGCTCTCAGCAAACAGAATCCATCCTCCAGCGTGCACAGTGTCCTTGGAATCCCATTCTGGTATGCTTTTGGGCGGCGACTCCCAACAATCTCACTGTTACCTTTTCCT